CTAGTGTGATACGGGCATTACAACGTCAAGACGAACGCAGCCATGCGCAGCGCGCAGCCATTAAGATCCATACCACGGAGGATCCGTACGTTTTCACCGACATTCGTAAATCTTACTATTCGCTCAACGTGCGCGGACCAATTAGTTAAACAAACAGTGGCAAATCTGACTGTATTGACCGCTGAAAAGCGGCAGGAGCCAATATAAAAATAAGAAGAAGAAGAAGTAAATCTTAACCTAACCTATATACTTTGAAAATTACACAATTGTATATACGAAGGTGAAGCAACGTTGTGCTATATTGCTCCGGAGCGGAGCTGAAGGCACTAATTTTCCCTCACCCGAGGGAATCAACAAAAAAAAGAAAACACACAATTGTATAAGTGTTCACTTTGTGTTGTTTATTTAATGGTCGTCAATATTATTAATTAATGAAAAATGTCAAAAAGAGGACCATATAAAAGATATTTAGAACCTGGAAGTACGAGAGACATTCCGCGATCTACCGTAAAGCGAAGAAAGAAAGTTGATCTTTCTGACTTGGACGCATTGCAAACAAATAACTCACAGAATAATCAACAAGTAAGTTGTTTTATAAAATGTTTCAACATTTATACATTTAGGCAATTTTTATACATTAACTTCATTGCTGTTTTCACCAAGAAATTAATTGCCTTTATGACACACTTATACATTTAATTTCAGATATCAACGTTTGATCACGATTTATGTACACTTGAAGAGTCTTCTAATAATGAAATCAATGAACCTAGTTCTTTAAGAGTATACGAAGAATCTGTATTCCAAGATGCCGATAATGATAACAATAATGAGGTTATCGAAGAAAATGTTGATGATACAATCTATTTTGAAACTAATGTAAAATTTTATTTTTATTATAATTGTAATTTTTATTCTACATTAGTATAAATAATGAGAACATTTTTTTACAGCTAGACGAAGTTGTAGATGATACAAGTGATTCTGAAATAACCAATTTATCTGATACTGACATTGATGATGAAAGGGAAAATTCAAATCAAGTACGTATATAATTCCCTAAATTAGTCTAATATGACTGGCTTATTAGCATTAAAATTTTTTTTATGTTACTTTATACAACATTCACAAAAACAATATAACGTTTTTAATTGTAGAGTGAAGAAAATGTGGGACATGAATATCCATTCTTAGAAGAACAGTTGAGTGCATCTTCAACTACATCTAAAGGCGACGTTTTATTGATGACTTTAGCAATAGGACTGCGCCATTCTTTACCGTGGATAGCGATCACAGATATATTAAAAATGATAAACGTAATATTTGGCGAGC